GTTTGGCTCATTAAAACAACTATACAACAAAAACTTGACTACCAGGATAACCCAGAAGACAACACTGGGAGGCGCCTAATTTAAAGTCATCCTACCATCACCTATGATTAAGGATTCCCGACGGAATCCGAAATGTCAGGAAAATAAAAATCTTGTTCCAGTGATCGCATCCTCTTCTTCTGAGGGGCTTAGTTGTTCAGGGATGCCTTAGCTGTTTTTACATATAGCAACAGCCACTGGACGCATGCGGACGGTGTTTATTCTTGCCTCAGTGAGAGGGGGAGGTTTGGTTCGCTGTCGTTCAAGAAGTGTATGTTATATTAGTCGAGATATAGCATGTTCATATGGGATCTGGACGGCTGTGTCCGTCTGAAGACGCGCTTATGTTGCAGTCGGCCAGACTGTGGGTTTAGCGTACCCGGAGCCGCTCGCTTAGAAGATAGTTCGGCATATATACAGGTAAGAAACATTGCCGTTGAGGAGCCAATTAAAAACTGTAGGTACATTACCTTGAAGCTTTGGGACTTGAATCAAGGCACTTGGCATCAGATGCTGGCTGACAGTTACAATTTTTGAATCCTTGAATAGAGAGAGAGAAAACGCACATTTATGCGAGCCTTATTTTTGAGCGACGCTATCTTCTACCTGTAAATGCGAAACAACATGCTCGGTGCAGTGTGAGCCTTAACAGAAATACAAACAGTGGAGAATAAATCGAGCTGGAGTAGTCAACTAGCAGGAATAGAATAAATACTCGACAGAAGAAAATTTGCCATGACCATGTCGATTATGGAAAAGAGTTGTTTCATTTCGTCCCCACTTAGTGGGGATCCCTTCCTGTGTGTGCGCGCGTAAATCTTCGCCGTAACATCAGGAAGAAAACATAAATACGACCAGCTTGGGACTGTACCAGCGTTACCATCTACGTAACCGCTGCACTTATAGTGTTACTACCCATAGAGTTGGGGGTAGCAGTGCTGTTAAAAACCTTGCTGGGAAAAGGCATGGAGGCTTGGCAATACTTGGCTTTAGCAAGAGCCTCATGTATCAACTTTCAACTGCAAAATACACGCAACAAGACCAAGAGGGAGATGTCGTTTCGAATAGCTCGGCTTATAAATATACATCGGAGTTCTCAATTTATTACGAGTCAACAGAAATAAATAATGCTTTGACTAAATATATAAAAACCCAATCTGTACAAAATAGACAAACGATTGTTTGCAGTCAGCCTTCATGGAGCAAGAAAACGCCTTTCGCCAAACGGGGGTAACACTACCAACCTCCGGCTTTTACACTAAGCAGTCAACCTCTGGTTGATGAAAGATATTTCTAGCAGTTCTGTGGATGATCACTATACTGAAATTGATGCAGGTCATTTACCGTGGTAACTGAAGGCTGAGTGAATGAATGAAAGGCAGCAGATGGGTTTGAGATATTTGTGATTGGTAAATCTACTTGAAACATGTCAATTCATTTCTGGGTAAAAGTTAACTTCAAAGCTGCTGAGCGTCACGCGACAATGCGGTGCGGTCAAGACACTAATGCAAATGAAAAAAGATTCCATAAGGCACCTTCTAAAACGGGGAAATCGTATGTCGTGTTTATGATAGTCAGTTGTTGTAGGACACGTGAATAGGAACCTTCGAAAGGAAATACTGGAAGCCTCG